TATTGATAGAGAACAATCAAGAAAAAACCACGAACTAACAATATGTGATAACGAAATTTGATAAATAAGAAAATTTTGGGGGGTGGGGGCTAACTTCAGTGAGCCAAGAAAAACATTCATCGTATTTTTTATTTTGTGATAAGCGCCATCTTTTGGACTGGCTTAGAACAATTGGGTACTAGGTAAACAAAAACTGTTATGAAGTATTTTTTAACTTTACTGTTAGATGTCGCTTAGGTACTTTAACAAAATGTACTTAGCAATCGACATTTTAGCATTCAAAAAATTTCGCTAAAATAAGATAAATTAACTTTATAACATTACTTTTATAAAAATTGTTCTTGTTATGTATACACTGTACTGTTTTATACGAGCATAACCCTTCGTGAAATAGACAAAAATAAAATTTTTGGTTACTTAAAAATAAATGTACCTACGACAAAATTACTATCATAAGTTATTCTCTATACCTGCATATGAACCGTAGTTAATTTAAATAAAGAATTTTTGTCTCGATAATTAATGAGAAAAATAGCATTTTTATTATCAAAACATTTGTTATGGTATTAATTTCCAGTAAGTAGTACACGTTAAAAGCTCTTTATTCATAGTCTCATTAAAATTTTCAACATTATCACGATTACATTACATCACATATAAAAATCAGATTGGTAATTTGTATTTTAACATTTTATGTACACATTTGCTCACTCGTATAGTATATTATTAAAATCAAGCGAAGCGATTTTAAAAGGGACATTTTTATGTTAGATGTTTAAACATAAAAATGTTTCTATAAAAACACAAAGAAAAACACATAACTATACCTATATCTTTGTATATATTCACGAAATAGTCGATGAAGGATATAGGTACGCTACGGTGAGCACAATTAATGTCTAAATATGCATTTCACTTGGTCCATGTTGGTGTATGAAGTTCCGGAATTGGTAATCGATTGTCTAGTCCATGAGGATGTTAAAGACCAGACAAAAAGAAAGAGATACTTATCACTACGCAGGTCAACATTAGGTTAGCGGTTTTTTTTATAACATTGGATAACAAACGAGTATACTCCACCTGATAGTAAGTGGATGCTGTGGTCCATAGACATCCACATTTATCCTCAATAAAGAATCAAAATGCAAATGCGTTGTCACCCCTGAGGACTAAGGTGGAATGCCTCGATTCCAGTAAAGAGTCTCCGTATCTCTGCGCTCACCATACGAAACACAGCAGCATTACACTGCTAATTACAAAACAGCGTAAATACGCTGTCATTCTGTGAGAGCGTGGTCTTGCCCCGGTCGACCCGACCTATTCGTGCTACAACTATAGTATTATAGCTGCAGTGTGGCTCTACCACGTAAAATTATATGCCGTGTAATGTCATCGTGCAGATTTTTTTCTAGATGTTTTAGATTTCTTTTTTGTCAAGATTCTGTCCAGTTTGGCACCACTTACTTATTTCTGCCTTCAAGCTGCAATACGCTTACTGCTGTGTTCTGTTTCAGTCACAGAAATCTAAATATTATTTAGTTTATTTAGATTATTTAGATTTCTGTGGTTTCAGTAATCCGGACAAGTACTTTGTGACCTCTATTTTCGTTTCATATTAGTTGTAGGTGTCCATTGACAGCAGGGGCTACTTAGCATCAGGGGACCTTGTAGCTCAATAATAGAATAAATAGAAATTCATTCTTTCTTAATTTTAGCCAGGAAACGATTAGGTATTGTTATCAGTGATTTTTACATAATTTCTATTATGAATCGTTATAAATAATAATTGTATAATTACTTTTTTATTTTATATAATTTTTTAAATTATCAAATATCAAATAGATTATTAGTCATTGTATTGTCATAATAATTATCATAGATAATTTTCTCAGTTTATTTTTAATTAAGAATTTGAGTCTACGATTTGAGATATGTACAAAGAGATATAAGTATTTCCAATTTCTAAACATTTGTAAATTCACTCAGTAATATTTATAACAGTGTTTTGCTTATTTTCATATTATAAAAGTATTTGGATTGTATGATTCTTACACACAGCTAGGTTCAGTTTTGATAGGTAGCAACGATATGCTACCACCATTGTGTGATATTATTTAAACGATTGCAATAATTATTGACGGGCTATTCGAATTCTAAGTAAGTAAGTAAGTAATTCCTGCGACTCCTATAATAGTATGTATCTCTGGTGGAAATCGTGATGGGCTGATTTTTGGTGTTGCAAGCTTTTTTATCTAATTTTGAGTTACAAAGAGTGATACTATAATGAAAATCGCAGTTTTTTCCATATTTAATGATTGCCACTAGAGTTAGGTACACAACAGGTTTTGCCATAATCGTCAATTGTGAGGGAATTCACTGGATGTCGCGCACCTTTAACGTTGCATCTCATGGGATATTTCACATCTGACATTTACGATATAAGAACTGTGACAGCTCAAAGGCTAAACGCTTGCTATATCGCGCGGGTATTTGATTGAATATATTTCGCTCATCGAAAACATAGTCAATGCTAAAGTCAAGTAACGGACGCGGTCTTCTGTCTCAGTCTCTTGTCTCGGTCGCTTGTCTTTTTTTTTTGCTGTCGTCTGCTATGGGACTACTTTTGTTCATCCCATGCAGGATTCGGGCCTCGGGGAAACCCCCATTAACCGGGTGATCCTCACGGCTCATGACAATGAGCCGGTCTTGGGAGCCGTACCAGTACGGCATCGTTGGCTATCTTGGTTGGCGTATTGCGCGCCACCAGGTCGGTGCTACCGGAGGGTCGGCCGTCTCGAAGCCCCGCGGAGTCCTGAGGATGGGAGTCGACGCAGGGCCAATCTTGCCGACAGGAGGGCGCTCCAACAGCAGCTACTCCGGGCCTCCAGTGCTCCTTCCTGGCTCTAGTTGAAGGCCTGGCATTCCTAGGCAAAAGGTTGGCGTGTCTCGCGCCTCTGGGAAGGGAATCTGCCGAAGGGTCAGCAACCTCAAGGTTCCGCGGAGAAGCATCTCGACGCGGAGCCGAAGTCGCCAACAGGCGCGCGCACTTGGGTGCGCCGGGCCTTCGGAGTTCGCTTCCCAGCGTGTAGGTGATGCGCAGCGTTGGGTGATCTTCATCCGGGGTGGGGTCAGGGGCGTCCTCAAGGCTTCACCAAGGCGAGTTGGCCCCACAGCGCGCGCACCCACTGCGAAGCGACGCGCTGTACCTCTCCCACCCGGGCGGGAGTCGACGACCGGCGGACGTGACCGCTCGTTGGCGCGGTCCGGACGAGACAACGGTCGCTTGTCTCTGCAGCGACGTGAACCGCCAACTTAACGTAAGACGCGACAGAGATAAGCTAAACCAGGTGGGCAGCAGAATCTACCTAATAACAGCTGAATAAAAATCACAATAAACTGCACTTGCTTTAATGGTATGTTACGGGACTGCTTATTTGCATACAGGACATATGTTTTTGTATTATGTAACACATATTGATATGAAAGTAACTGGTTACTGCGGCGTAGGTTATTTTGAGTTTGATTCTCATTTGTTCGTAAGCAAAGTGGAAGAAATGACCAACGAGCACACAGTTCACCGCTTAATAACTTAATGCTAGGTACTCGACATCTAAGATTGATCTCGTTACCATTGAAATAGGCACTCTGGTTATCTACAATGACCTTACAAAACACACCAACATTATGCTGCTAATGGTAAATGGTATTTTATGAAAGCGCGGTCTTTCTCCGATCTAGTCGACCCATTAGTGCTGTGGTCATAAGACAGCTGCAGCGTAGCTCTACCGCGATAACATGTTCTTGTACCTGACGACGCAACTTAAGAAACCTTACTGGGCACGGGTAGGTTGGAAACCATTACTTTATTTGCGAATATACAAGTATACATTGTTTTTTTGCTAGTCAAAATCGAACAACACCGAAACGCCTCACATCAGTACCTAAACACGATGAAACTAAAATGATTGCAATTAATAGCTCAAAGGAAGAATTTTTCTCTTGCTTCGTAACAAATTGCATATTTCGTTTATACAGTGTCCCAACCCACCATCGGTCATAACGTTTTCACTATATACTTAATGCACAAGAGTTTTTAGATACTATGATATATCTTGAATTGAGTATAACTGATTTGAGTTTAATAAAAAAAAATCGATAATTATGATGAAAACAAAAGTTATTATTTGTTTTTGTTTTGGCTATCTGTCATCAGGTATCTAAGATAGGCGGTGATGTAGCTTGAGGATAACTGTTCGGTTTTAAAAAAAATAACAATGCACGAGAAAATGATTTTGATTCATTTCTGCTCCAAAACAATCAAAAATAAAAGGAGGCTTATTAGACTTACGGATCGTATAATTTCGAACTGCACGCGCTTTTATGTATTTTGATTAATTTTGTCACAATTACTGTAATAAGTAAAGTAAGTTTAAATCTGCATACCCTTATATTGTGTTTTAGTAGGTTTTAGCCATATCACCATATTTGACTTGGTAAAAGTAATAAAAATCTACCAAAAAGACAATGGAGGCGCGTGCAGTCTTAAATCAGACGATCTCCACGTAAACAGGCTATTAATATGATCCTATATACTTATATGAAAACAAAATGTTTAGTGCGTATTAACACATTATATTTTAGAATACATTTTTATTAAAATTCTTATATTTAATTAAATTTTTAAAAACGTTATACATATGACGTAAATTTATTTTACAAATCGACGTACAATAAACAATTATAAATTTCATAAATTCCTAAAAATGGACGGAATTAAATCAAGTATTTATGTAATAAACATAAAATTAGTAAAGCTATTATGACTTTTTACATGACAAAGCGGTTATATTAAATTAACAATATGTATGTTAAAGTGAATGTTGACAAGATCTCTTTATACTTTACTTTTACCTAAGAATCTTCTGCACTTCGCTTTATTATTTTTAAGTCAATAACATAATTTTATGGCAAAGTTATTACAAGTACGCGTTCACACGTAATTAGTAATCCCTAATCTTTTCAATCACCTTATAGTTGCTACTTTTTCGTTCGGAATACAAAGGAGCAGATCCGTTTTTGCTTTCGTAGACCGGTGGTGAGGTACGCATACCATTATCGTAATATTTAATACTAGAAATAGGCTCACCCTTATAGCCTCTGCTCTTTGTCACCGAATTGACTTCCCTTGACTCTATTATCTCTTTCGATCGGCCATCTCTTGAAGGCACAATTTTTTTACTGACTGTTTCGACTGTATCCGTTACGCTGGGTCGTTCCGGGTCCCCTGAACGAGTCGTATACCTATACGTTTCAGAGAAATTATCACTGCTGTTGCTTCCTCTTCTAATTGCTGGCGATTTTACTCTTGTTTCCAACCTTGACACGAAGGGACTACTTTCCCTGTTTAGTGATTCAGTTTTGTAAAGCGGTATTTTACGTTCTTCTGATATCCGCTCCTTATAATGCGGTGAGGGTGTCCCGTATCTCGAAGACCGTCTGCTACCATCTGATTCGTCGTCGGCGTGCAGTGTTTGATATAGATCTGGTGCACGTTCACGGAGTCCTTTGAGGAATATTTTCTTCTTGTCGGTTTCCTCGTAAGATTTGTTGTAGCCGTTTGTATGGCCATTGCTTGTTGGAGCTGTTTTTCCGTAACGAGCACCAAACAACCCGTCACGCCTGCGTTCAGTCTCTCTGGAGACGGCGTCAGCTAAATCGCGCTGACTTCTGTTTATAATAGAAACGATACCAGGACTTTTTAACTGTTCCGGCGTTTCGTCGAGTCGACTTAAATGTGGGTTAGATTTGTACATGGTGGAGTAGTTACGGTTCATGCCTGTGACGTAACGAGGGTGCGTCTCCTGTTCAGGAGCGCCCATAGCAAAACTCTTGCTCCTGTTCAGACCTTTGTATGTCCGCGCTGGTTTAGCTGGGCCCGGTGGATAACCGTTAATTTTGACTTCCTGTGGCGGTGGTACGTTGTGGTTATTTGATATATTGATGGCACTTGTGGATCTCTTATTTTGGGCAAGTCGATTCCAGTATTTGTTATTACTCGGCTTCTCAGTGGTCTTTTCTTTGCGGTCGTGAAGTTTTCTCGGCAACGTCTGCGCGCTGCGAGAGTAATCTTCCTCTGTCTCACTGTTCGGGTTTAAACGGCTCGTTGAGTGGCTGAAGCGGCCAAGTGTACTTGAGAACTGGACCCTGTAATAATACCAAAAAAACCAGTCAATTATAATGTGTTTAACAGCGTCAAAAATTGTTAAAACTGGCAAAACCCACGTACGCTTTATTGTTATCTCGTTGTGTATCAACAAAAACTAGGCAATCTTGTATTTTAGTAGGTAATTGGATTCAATGGATCCTCCGCCCACGGACCTAATAACTCCGCTTTGTTTTGCGTACCTATTAAAATCACTGACAAGCGCACGCCTGCGTGCTTCAATTTAAGATAATAAATAAAAACGTGTATTTTGTTACTAGGACAATAATAACGCGCTCAATCGTGCAGATATGTCTGTACAGAGACATGTGAGCGGCAAGCGTCGCTGATAGAATGTAGGTTGATCTTGATCTTGACTGAAAGAGACCAACAGGAAACAAAGGCTCATATATATCTGCAAGTATATCTAACTCATTTACATTAGACGACGCGACATCGGACACCTGTATTGGCATTGTCTTGCAATGAGTCACAACCGTATTTGCTACAGCCGGCTTTTCCTATGGCATTTATATCAATGCGACAAACATTACTGACTCAACGCACAAGTACTAAATAAGGGCTCTTTTGTGAATGAAACTCTTATTTGCCCGTAATTGGTAAAGCCCATGGACAACGGCTAAGTAAAAAAGGCAAGTTGTGTCGGAACGGGTCGCTCGATTCTCTTACGAGTAAGATAAGTAAGATAAAGTGATTGATTCGATTTTAGATTTCTAATTTTTAAACTCTAACACAATCGTTAGCTATATAGTACTATTTTAAATAATTTAGAGCTGCATCTAAAAGGTCTAGTTATAACTATTGCATTAGATAAGATATCGAGTTATAAAATACAAATATCTTAAATAAGATTGTTTATTTTAATTTTTTTACTATATACGATATTAAATTGTTTACCCTTTTATACGTTGGCAATAAATAACTCTGAGTTAATGGCTTATTAGGTATATCCTAAAAAGGTATTTCATAGTAACATGTAAACATAATATTTAAATTATCACAAAGGCGGTTTCTTATTTTTTGCGAAATTCTTTTTCGCAATTAAAAAAAATTTAACTACTTATAGCTATCAACTTCAGATCTATCATCATATTTACTGTAGTTTTATCGTGATCCAATCGCCTGGGTTAGATCTATTAATGTAGCGTCGCTTAAACTTGAAATAATCGTGAAAGACCATTAATGATTAATTTTTCGTTTTCACAAAAAAAAATTTTTTTATACAATATTAGCCCAGATTACTTCTGACATTACTCGGTTTAGCCATTACGAATATTAGCGCGGACAGACAGACAAAAAAAATTAAAGGATCATTAATGTCTTAATTACTATTTATCTTTTTATCTATTACTATACTATTTTCAGTCATCCTCTACAGCTACAGAACATGCTAGAAAACCTACACCTAGCTAGTGTGAAAGTGGGACAGGAAATGAATATTACAGAGACTAAGATAATGACCAATAGCTTGAAAAGACCAATACTAGTCAATGGCAAACCATTACAATACGTTGAAAAATATGTCTATCTGGGAAAAAGTATTAAGTTTTGACAGGAAAAATAAGAACTTAGAAATAGAAAGAAGAATCCAATTAACCTGGAACAAATACTGGAGTCTCAAGGACATTTTAAAAACAATATGCAACAAGCTATTAAAACAAAAGTCATGAACTCGAGCCTCTTGCCTTGTTTGACATATGGTTGCCAAACGTGGAAATTCACTGCTGACACAAGAAAGAAGATCAGCGTCTGTCAGAGAGGACTCGAACGAAGTATGCTAAAGATAAGGAAACTGGATTAAATACGACACACAAAAATAAGAAAAATAACTAAAGTAACAAATGCTCTGGTACAAAAATTGAAATGGAAGTGGGCAGTACATATTGCACGGCTAACTGATCTTAGATGGACCAAAAAAGTAACATTCTGGAATGGCCCAATAGGCAAAAGAACAAGAGGGAGACCTATTACAAGATGGGAAGATGATATCAAAACAATAGCTGGTCCAAACTGGAGACAAGTAGCTCAAGACAGAGACAGAGAATGGGCATCACTGGATGAGGCCTTTACCCATTCTGGGTTCCGGTAGATAATATTACACAAATAAATATATTATTTAAATATAGTTATAGATATATTATAAGTAAATAGATAAATATAAATTTATGAAAGCTTATACTACACAATAAAGCTATATAAAGCATTAGTTATATAAATATTGTTAAATAAGTATTATCATATAGGTACATATACTTTAGATACAGATAAATCTATATTGAGTAATAAATAAATAACATAGAGTAAACCAAACTAACACACGCATAGATTATAAGTAATGTAAATTTATAGGAAATAAAAGGCTTTTTATTTTATTTATAATGTCTTAATGGTATGTAAACTGAGCTCAATAAAAAGCCATTATTTAGATATTATAGACAGATATTTCAATTTCATATAAATACTAGCGATCCAATTTTTACGTTATGACAACAGCGCCATCTACCGGATCCAATTGAGTTTTAAACCAACCAGAATCTCACTCAAATACACAAAAAAAATCATTAGAATTGTTCAATCCGTTTTCGAGTTTTAGCGAGACTTAAAGGACAGCAATTCTCTTTTATATATAAGATATAGAGAAAAGATTAAAAATCAAAATGCATATGCGCAGTCCAGAGGATACCATCTTCGACTTGTTTATCAGTGAAATTATGACCGACATTGTTTTGCTTGATAACTTGATAAGAATACAAACGTTACACGGGATTTATTGGTAAAGAAAAAACGAGTACCAATTTCAGAGTATGTTCCCATCTTTACGCGGCACTGATAATCATTTCTCTATTTTACCTTTTTTAGATATTCTGATTAAAAGTTACACGATATTTCCTTTTATACAAAAATAAAACGACAGTTTAAATACGATGACCTAAATAGTTTTAGTTTCCACTTTCTAATAAAATTTACTGACTGAACTGACCATTTATTCCGCATTTGGCACTTTATGTGTCTTACTTTCGTTTGAATTTGAAATCGCTACAAATCTATATACGTTTCCATTGACGTTTTCAGAATACAACAAATGAAAACATATTAATTAGTATGCGAGTTGTGACCTAAAACATACAACACAGGTACATGTTGCCAGGCAAGTGTGTAAATACCTTGTTTAGCTTTTATATTTATGTATTTTACGCAACAAAAGCATGAGCTAAGTACTGTTTGTATTATATTTCAAATAACTGATGCGTACCATTTTTCTAAGCGTGCAGTAAAGACATATTATCTCATCATCTCTATCTCATATACGGGCAGATAACTTTTTTCGTTTTTGTTCCGTTCTTAAAGAACACATAGTTGATATGAAGAGGGGAGCTTGTACGTGTTCACAGACGGAAGTCTGCAGTCTGTGAACTCGTACAAGACCGCCTCCATCGCTACATCAGATTTGATGGACCACAAATCCTCGCTAAAGAACACCGATTCCTTCCAAGGATGAATCGCGAGGCTATTGAAATCAAAATACATCCTAATTAAAATAGAGAATATGGTTGGGTGCTACCATCTGCTTGAGATCTTATAATTAATAAAATTAAATCCCAACCCTAGCATACAACTACAAGACTTCAAGATATTATGAGTTCATACTGCGTAGATCGGCAAAAAAGTGGTTAACTATGACATTGGGACATCGAGCACCGCATACCGTCCCCCCTTTGACCATGGGTGCTTAAAGTGTGTAAAGTGCTCGAAACGTCGGGAATATAAAAATGTTAATATACGCGTTATAATCCGTTAAAAATAGTTATATTTAAATGTGTGGTGTTCGCGTATACCTACATAAGAAACCACTATACCTCAAAAAGAAATTAGAAAGCATAATAACTTCACGTTTTTCCCTGAATTAAAAAACTTATCTTTCCAAGCATCATCTCAAACTTTAACACAATCTCTACATTGTAATATCGAAAATTCAATATTTTAAAAAATATCAACAGTTTAGTTTCTTTTAGTTTGAACTGATCAGTTGGTATGATCAGCTGAACTGACCGTGTGTGGCGTCCATAATATATGCTGTCGAGATACAAAAATCATCCGTGTGAAGCCGGGGCAGACCGCTAGTGTATTACATTATGAACTATTGTGTCATTTATTTTATTTATTCGAAATGAAAAAAAAAACATTTCTTTTCTTTTACTTATTTTCTTTTATTACGGCGGCCAGTCTCAACTGAGACTAGCCACCTGCGCAGCACAAGATTATAGTGCACGAGTTCGTGGGCACACACATATCCCTAACTTTCATAGTCCATAATCCGACACGACCGTAGAGAGGTCAGACACAAGACCCAATAACTGACTTTGGCTCTAACCGGGATTCGAACTCGATTATCTTCTGAATGGCTAAATCGATTGTAATGAAACTTTACTAACGGATAGCGAGCAATGTCAGGAGTAATTTAAGTAAGCTATATAAGATATCATACAATTGATAAAATAAATAGTCTTTGATGACCATCCTGGAAGGGGGCGTGAGTAAGTGGCGATAGTATATAAAATAATCGTTCGTATATATTTTAGTAATCGTTAAACTTCTGAATGACTTTAACGATTGTGTACATATTCATTATATTTTTTGTCAAATGAGGGTTCCTAGTTATAATAGCTGGTGGCTATCGACCGGGAAATACCTCTCTCTCACAGAATACTAGCTTAAAATCGCAGCGTGTTTCGTATGGTGAGTGTAGAAAACTGGAGAGCCCTTTGTACTGGAAACGGGGCATTTCATCGTAGTACTCACTGGTGACAACGCTTGAAAACTTATTTTCAATTAAGAATCTAGAAAAAGATTCTTAATCGAAAATAAGTTTTCATATTAAGATAAAGGAAGAAAATAAAGGTAAATCCAATCAACATTTAGAGGTACCAATTGCAAGGGCTGCCTCCCCGCTCAACTAGAAATCCGAATCCAAAATATAAATTTTAAAAAATTACATGATTTGTTATGCATTTTTATCATTACTTATGTTTTTTATATTTAGTGGTGGAGAGATTATAGAGTATGAAAGCCATATTGTAGGCTTATGAAAAAAACTAAAATCTGACAGTTGTTGTCAATAAATAAAAAGATATGAATGCAAATTGTGTTTTGGTGGTGAAATCCCCATAAAGACACAATATTTGGTAAAATAATAAAAAATAAAACAAAAAAAAAATTATGTATCACAGTGTCCACTTTTCATCAGGTTGACTATGTGCTTGCTTGTTATAAAAAATGCTAGGATCTAATAGAACTTTTCTTAACTAACTTCTGAATATATAACTAACTTTAAAGAGACAGTAGCCTAATGGCAGGGCGCGGACCGCGAACTCAAAAAGGTCGTGGATTCGAATCCGCCATTCGACTACTGGCGTGAACCACTCGTAACACAGGCAATTTAAGCTTACCACGAGTGGTTAAGGGGAATATTAGTAATGTTTGTAGCATTGTTAATATTCTTTAAAAAATAAACTACCGGTTTTCAGTGCTTTGAGCTGCGGTATACGGCCGGCATTCGCTAATTATCTATTGGACCATGTCGGCCACTCTCGTTTTTTCGTTCGCTGATACCCTTGTTACGAGTTCAAAATGATGCACAGTCCGACCAACCCGAGCAACAACAGTATGAACAAACTTACAAACGAGCACATCCAGATGGGCTGTGTCATCTGATGATAAATGCTTGGTTATCAGTAAAAGGGTTGTCGATTCTCTAGATTTATTTTAAGTCAGCATTTTATGAAGTGTGGTCTGTCAACAGTCGAGCTGACCTATTTGTCTAGCATTCGTAATAATTAATAACTGATCTAAGTCTCACGCGGCAACGTGATTCTGCCCGTGTCATCTGAAGCTTTTCAGTTATTTCAAATATTGTATACGAAAATGTTGGTAATTTTCTATACTACATGGAAATTTCGTATATCAATCTGATAATTAAAAATTATAGAACGTTGAGAATGCGACCGCAAAGACACTTGTCACCGATACTATTACTAAATTACGAACTGCATTTAATTGACCGTTCTTCGCCTTAAAATATTATAGACATAAAATATTAAAGGCAATAACAACTGGAAACAGATTAGGTAAATTTAAAAGTATAAGCTAGATAGAAAATATAACGTAACCTATTCCGTTAAAATAGCAGCATTCATAATATTTAAGCTTAACTTATTTTGACATATCCGTGAGACTATGATATAAAAGAGTAATGGGAAATGTTGAAAGGACATAAAGCGCACTAAATTTCAAATTGTGCAAAACGATACGTAGTCTAATGACAAGTCAAGAACCATAAATTTATATCATTACCAACTACTAACTTCCCGTTTTTTATTTTTTATTTTTTTTAGGAATAAACTCGTGTTTGATAAAGATCCTACACGATATTAAAATGTGTGAACATTAAAGTTAAACCAATCTATCCATAATAATCTCGAAGAGCATTAATTAAATGTTTTTTATATTTTATCGTAGGCGACAACGTTTATTAATTGTACTACAAGATTCTATCTATGGTTTTGTATTGTTATTTAAATCAATACGATTATAATTTTTGACTTCTGGCCAAATAAGTTGAACAGCCTGTTAATAACAAATCATGATAAAAATATTGGAAAACTTACCTATCACGCTGATCACGGGCGTCGTTACCCGCGGCTCGTCTTGTACTGCCTTCGTACTTGTGTTCTCGGCCATAGATGCTGGGCGCAAAAGGATCTTCGCCGAGGTAGTATCGGTGCGGGGGAGCAACGGGGGGCGCCAAATCGCCACCGTACTGCTTGTACGTACGAGACGAGTGCTCCGGCGACGGCGTCCGTGAGTTCCGTAACCGAGTTTTTCTTTCGGCAGACGCCGAACGAATCTTTCCAACCAACTTCCTTATCGAGTTCCCTATAGCAGTTCCAACAGATTTGCGGACCGGAGATGGTCGTCGACGTTCTTCGTTTTCCGCAAAACGTGTTTTCTGATTCTGTTTACGCTCGTCACGTTCCCGACGACGCGGCGGCGTTCGGTCTCTATCCGAACTGCCCCGACGTTCACGTGGCGGTGAATAATCAGGCGGCGGCTCTACTGCAACTTCTTCGCGGCTGTCTCGCGAACGACCCGAATTCCCGTTTCGAGAAGAGCTTCTGTATCCACTATCATAACGGTGCTCTTCGGAAACACGCTGTTTCGTGTGTCGTTTGCGTTCTGGAGCAACAGGATGCCGGTAGTCATCTTCGATTGATGGCTCGCGGAAGGAGCGATCCGTTTCTAGTGGACGGAATGGTGAACCACGCGGCGGGCTGTGCATAGTCGACGAGGACACGTAGGCGGAGTCGTCACGAGAAGGTGGATGGCGGCGTCCGATCGGCGATGACCGCCCTTGAAGCGAATCGCGTTTTCCGTAAACATGCCTTGGGGAAGATCCATTTAATCGATCATCGCTTGCGTATGGAGAACGCACCGCAGGCGGCGACGGAGACGAACTACGGGGCTCCGGCATTCTAGGTTTCGTAGCGCGACGTTGCGACCAGTCGGCCACACCTTTAAAATAACCTCCTGTTCTGTTCACCGGCCCCGCTGGTTGTTCGTCGGATGGCGTCGAAGATTTTGTTTTGCGAAGTACTCTATTACCATACGCAGCCGGCGGTGGCACTAAAGATGACGTTTTCCCGTAATACCCTTCGTCGTCGGCAGTTTTATTCTTAACGTAGTACCTCGGTTCAGGCCGTCGTCCGATCTCTTCAGCGATGGAGTCGTGCGAGGAACGCGAGTCACTCCCAAAGTGGCTCTCTAGCCATTTAGAAGTCTCCTTCTTGCGTGTTTCCTCCTCGATATCGAAGTCCAGCGGTCGTTTAGCGTAGTCCTTGTCGTGTTCTGAAAGTAAAGAGCGCTTTAGTAAAAATTGTGATGGTACGGCGCGAGCGCACGGGCGAAGGCTTACGTTGGAGTGGCCGGGTCGTCTCGCATCCTCTGTTACACATGATATTACGTAATCGTTCAGTCAATAAGTTTGCCAAACTAACGAAGGTCAATGCAGTACGGTACGAACGCGGGCGTCATTTTTACTTAACAGCTGTAAGACAGTAGCGTAATAAATTATTCACCGTATAATTATTTCTAGGCCACTGTCGCCGTTTTAGTCAGTAAACTAATTATGGGTAAGAAATTTAACCTTTGTCCGAGTTGTTCTAAGATTGTGACTAAAGAAATTGTAAACTATGCAAACTTTGCAGCATCTCCTTGTCATTATTTCTATTTTAGGTACAAACATTCTGAATATTCTTTTTTTATGTGACACTACTATTTTTTCCAGTGTCGTGGAGATGTTTTACATACAAAATACTCCACTCTTTCTGGTCATGTCGGATTGCCACCCCATCGGACTACGATAGTGAAGGAATACAGAGTACCTACACCTGTGCTTGCGCTTAAAAGGCGCCAGAGCGAAACTCAAACAGCCAAAAAAAAAATAAAGAACTCAAAATAATAAAAAACTGGGGTTACCAAGTAGCCTATCAAGCGTGGTAACCATGGCAAAATCTCCTCTATGAGAGAGGGTCTATGTTCTGCAGTAAACTTTTATGGGCTTTAATGGATAATGGTTGGAAGAATCAAATAGAAAATGACACCTTATTAACTTATTATAGATTCACTAGGCAAGATTTACTAGCTAAAAAAAATTGCAATATTCACTAGTACCTACGTCTCCACGTTCGAATCACTCACCCTTGTAGACACTACGTCAATAAATTACGAAAGTTCTATCAAGCCTCCATTCAGAAGTACATCGCGTAGATAGATAAAACAACGCGTGACATAATTAGAAGTAAGTTCATAGAATAGTAAACAGTTTTCGTTCAAGCATTAAAAAGTGTAATACAAAAAATCTGTGTTTCTCAAAGGGACCTCAGATGCTTAATTTTTTTGCCTGCATAATAATAAATTCGCAAAAACTATAGGTGCATAGGTAAGATGCGAAGAAGAAAAATATAGCTAGGTAGTAAATTACAACAATTTTAATAACATATTATTGTGTAGTAAGTAATATGTGACAGGCGTGTACACTGTACAGTCGAGCGTGTCACAAACGACCTTAAACCATTGCGTAGGCACATTGATTGACCATACGCGATCTTTAAATGGGCTTTGCCACTTAAGTTGCCCACTTGACTGTTTAAACGAACATAATTGCACAAAACATTTTGACTTCCACATTCCTAAATGAGTGAAATTTACGATTGGATTGCGAAAATATTGCGTGAACGTTAAATGTGTTAAGCATTCCAATAAACGAAATTTTTGCTTAGAAATGGTTTTTATTGCACATGTGTATCGTCATATTATTTTATTTGATTATAAAAGAGGTCTAATAAAATTTAGTACACACTACAATCTATATCTTCAATGAATCAATATGGAAACAAAAACATTTATTTCTTTATAATAAAGTGATCACAATCAAACAAAATTATTACGAAAGTTTTTAATAGCACACAAGCATAACTTTTTATAAATAGAATAGAATAGAAAATAGAACTACGCATCAGCATATCATAGCTGCAGTACAAAAGGTTCGATCGGTAAAGGACCGCGCATAAAGATAATACCAGCATAAAACTGTCGTGTTTCGCCAAGCATAATATGGTGAAGAGACTCGAAATACCTAATTACTGGGTAATAACGCATTCTATCGAGTCCGTCAAGGGTAACAACCACAGAAATCTAATTTAGATCTAGATTTCTGTGGTAACAACTCATCTACATTTTAGTTTTTAAACAAAGGCAGATATCGGTGTCTAAGGACCACAGAAATTGCTTATCATCAAGTGGACTGTGTGCAAACTGGTCTCCCTTACTTCTATTATAAAAGAAAATCAAAAATTTTGTATTGTATAATGAATTAAGTAATAACATATTATACTTTCTCTTGTATGTCCTCAAGACAAAGGCTGTAATGCTGGCCATAAGTTACTAAGTTTAAGGAAATATGGAAATTCTATCTCTTCTTTGATATAAATTAATCATAAGTTTACAAAGAAAGCAAGAGCGTTGTCGTACATTAAAAGTTATGCCGAAATCATGCTAAGCCTTTCTTCTTTCTTTCTTTTCCAGTCGTATTATTCGAAAATATAGAATATTTGATTGTGTAGAAATAATAACAGCTGAATTTTGTTAAAAGTAAATTTAATTATTATGAGAGACAATAATTATCTCTATATACTGCATAGTTTACCATTTCGGAGTACCCAACTCGCAGTAGTTTACCTATAATGTAGTGTCGTAAGAGGCGACAGAGTCGAAATGAAACAGAAGATGAGCCGCAGCATTTTCCTGAAAACAATTCAACATAATAAAAAAATTGCGGCTGTGAACCCGCTTGGCAAGCGCGGCAACTATTCAAAATTCCCCCATAAAGAAATGTATGAGGGAGGCCTTTGTTCAGCAGTGGACTTTTATAGGCTGTAATGGATGCATGGGTACAATTACCGTTACCGTACTGCCTACCAAAAGTCCGAAAACAAATGCCTCCCCCATAGATTGTCTTATAGACGAATATTCGCCATTTTTTTGTAGGGGAGGGGGCAAACGAGCAAACGACTCACCTGATGTTAAGTGCCTACCGCCACCCATGAACAACTGCAATACCAGGGGAATTGCAGGTGCGTTGCCTGCCTTTTAGAAAGGAGTAAGCTCTATTCTCCTATTCTTGAAGGTCCAGTCGTATCGCTACGGAAAAATCGCCGGTGGTAAACTATTCCACAGAGACGTCGTACGCGGAAGATAACTCCTAGTGAAACGTACAGTGGTGGACCGCCAAGCATCCAGATGGTGTGGATTGTAGTGTGGAGTTTTGCCGCGATGTGTTCTTTTTTAGTTGTTATTAGAAAGATTGCTGCTCATCTCCTGATTTATCCCCTTCTCAATAGACACGATATAGGTGGAAAATTCTGCTAAACTATAACGTCTTCATATCCAAAATTCATAGATTTTTTAAAGAAATATGGTTTACAAACGAACACAACGTCCATATGTTGGTAAATGGTTTTTTTAATACAATGAGAACGTAAAACGAGCACATAGTACATCTGAAGCCCATAGACATCTTTTTTTTTATAGGATAGGGTGACAAACAAGCACACAGTCCACCTGATGGTAAGTGGTTGCTGCGGCCCATAGACATCTACATCTATCTTCCATTACAAATCAAAATGCAGATGCGTTGTCACCCGTGAGGATTGAGATGGAATGCCTCATTTCCAGTAAAAAGGGTCTCCGGTTCTCTACACTCACCATACGAAATACAGCAGCATTAAGCTACTATTTCACGCTGGTATTCTGTGAGAGCGTGGTCCTTCCCCGGTCGAGCCGACCCATTCGTGCTACAACTATACTACTAATATAATTGCAGCATGGCTCTACCACGTTAAAGTCTACAGTTATCCTCACTTAAGAATCAAAATGCAGATGCGTTGTCATACCTGAGGATTAAGATGAATGTCTCGTGTCCAGTGAAAGGGATTTCCGGCTCTCTACACTCACGATACGCTATTTGCTGGTATATATTAAGCTGCTATATTCTGGTATTCTATGAGAGCGTGGTTTTTCCCCCGGTCGAGCATTTGTGATACAAATGTAATAGAAGTAGCATGGCTTTACCACTTGAATAGATATAAAACATTTCAGTTTTATTTGAATGAAAATGAACCTAACTACTTTTTGTAACATATAACAAATTACCAATTTAAATAATTTGCATAAAAGCTGTAAGCCTTTACAGCTAGCTATGCGTCTTGGGGCTTACAAACTAATTACAAACAGTTTCCTGACTTCAATATGATTTTTTCTGATTTCCTTAGGATTACAACTATAACAAATTTGACTCGAACTATGTCTGATTTAAAAAATCAATTGACAATGATATTCTTAAAAATGCGAACTGGAAAGTGACAAGTACAAAAATATATCTCTGAACAGATTAAAACAATTTCAGAGTAATTGTTTTAATGTTGGCATTTCGTGACAAGAACCCATCATTAGAGTTCCGCAGTCAACGAGACTCGTTGAATCAAAGTGGACATATCATTATCATAAAGCATAATACATATTACTGCTTATTACTCCATTCGTTAATGACACGTGTGCAAACTTTACTACTATACATGAGTTCAAAATATACGAGGTTGAGGATATTTAACAATGTTTATGGGTTGCTTTACGTTAAAATAATGATTGCGTATTATTTCTGCGAATAATACACATAATAAAATAAATTTCACGGTTTTTATGGTGTTTAATGTTAACTTATCACCCGATATTAGGTAACATAAAAAAGCTAGTTTAGGCATAAAGAAGTTAAATTTAAACTAAGTTTCATTTCTTGTTAAAATTTTAAAGATATATGAGTATTATATATAGTTATGCGCGATTTTGGTGATAACTTTTCTCTCTAAACGTTTTTTGCTACTTACACCGTTATGAAAAACCATTTTGAAATTATTTTCGTGTTTATTCTAAGCCACAAAATGTTTTTACAACATTAATGAAATTATTAATTGTAGTTTTATGTGCCAATTTACCACGTTCACGGCGGTAAAGGGAAATATCACAAGGAAACAATTTTGTCTGCGAAATTAAAAATATTTTGAAGAGATTTGAAGTCAACTCCAGTCCCTCCACCTGGTCATCATGGCCATCTCTTGCCTGACCAAAAACCCTCTCAGAAATGAGTGTTGCCTTGTTGTGACTTTAAATTTCACAACTTGAAAAATATCGGTCCCATTAAAATTAATAACAATTTAAATAAAAATAATTATAGATCAAATACTTACCATGTTTTAAATATATACGCAATAATAATTGCAGTTTTTTTTTTA